TTCTATGGTGAGCAGGGGAGCAGGTCAGGGATGAAATGAAGAGGACCTGAGACAGAAAGAAAAGGTGGAGGGAGGGCCCAGGGATGGGCTTGCTAGAAATGACTTCCCCTTGCTCCAGCATTCCGTTTCCCCTTCAACCCTCTCCCCTCCTGCCTTGCTCATTCCTCTCCTCCCTCCCAACTTTCTGTCTTCACCCACCCCCGCCACTCCCTTCCTGCCTCATCCCTCCCCCTCCAGCTCTCCTTCCTCACCTCTCCTCCTCCCGCCTCTCTCCTTCTCCCAGGCTTCCTGCTGGCCTGGTTCCCAGCCCCGCGCAGGTGGTCCCACCCAGCTGGTTTTTCTCTGCAGCTGGGTTGCCAGGCAGTTCCAAGTGTGATTCCTATTAATTGAACATTAAATTAAATCATATATTAAATTAATTCATAAACATATTTATTATTATCCATTAAGTCATAAAATGGAATGTGGTTTCTCTTCTTGTGCTATCCTCGCCCTGTTTTGATATCAGCATTATGATACCTCCTAGAATATTTTGGGAAACAGGCTATCTTCTTTGCTGCGCATGAGCAGTTGGATTACACAGGAGTCATCTGTTCCTTAAAGGTTATAGAATTCTCCTATAAAACTAGCTGGGCCCTGCTCTTACCAGATGGCCCCCAGCCATTGACTGAGCATGGTAGGGTTACCAAGGCACCTCTGCGCCATCTTTGCTCTGCAGCTCACAGTAGGTCAGCAGAGGCTCTGTCAGAGCTGCATCACAGTCTGAAGTTCAACTTGCAGAGTCCTGCTTTCTCCTCCTTCGTCTTTCACAGGCTCCCCCTGCCATCCAATAAACTTCCAAGAATCCTAACTACATCCTAGCATCTGCTCACTGGAGGATTTGAACTGATGCACTGGCAGTTGGCACAAACCCCTCCCTTCTGCCCCCTCCCTCCTGAGCTCTAAGACCCAGTCTCCAGGACCAAGGGATGGTGCAGGCCACTTCAGAACTGGTCCCTGGGCTTCATTTCCCCATCTATCAAGTCAGGACAATTCTCCCTCCATCACCTGCACTCCTGTGAACTTTGTTTTCTCCCTAATGCATCTGCAGCACCATTAGAAGTTCCCCCCAGAGCCCCACTCACTCGAGCAGTGCTAGGTTGCCCCAGAGGGTCAGCCAATGTCTAAGTCACTGGGACATCCCCAGCACTCGCCACAGGGCCAGGCCAGTGTAGGTGGTGAAATGTGACAGGTGAAAGGATGCTATTCACTGCAAAGCTGTTACAGAGAGATGAAGGGAATGTTGCTTCTTTAAGCAATGGGACTCTCCTGCCACCCCCACCCCGCCACCACCAAACCACAGCTTGGAGTTAAGAAGCATCTTCTCACAAGAAGAACTGGACCCAAAGAAGGAGAGGCCTAGGGAGGTGGTGAGCACTTCACATCCCTGGAGCTGCCAGCCTTACTCAACGGATAAAGACCAAAGGTGTAGGTCCCTTCTACTCAGAAACCCAGAAAAGGCAAAGCTTGCCTGCATCCACACAGCAATGTGGATGGCTCTGGAAGAGGAGTCCTGGAACAGTGACTCCCCAGGCCAGGTCCCTGGCCTCTACCATGCAGGCCAAGACCATGGTAGGGTCCCCAGCTACCCTTCCACTCCACAGCAGACCTTACCATCATTGAGTTCCTGAGCTGGAAGCCTTGAAGCAGTGAATGCATGACTCAGGGAGGTGGATGAAGGACTGGGGAAGGCAAGAGAGGCACCCACTTCAGGGAAGAGGCAGGCAGCCAGGAAGCCAGGCAGGCTCCAAATGAGTAACTGCAGATTCTTTCCTGCCGCGCCTGTCATCACGGGGGAAGGCAAGTGACTGCCTCTCTCTCTTCCCCCCCCCACTTTCTGCACCCCTCTGATTCTCGTATCCAGAAGGGAGTTGGGGCTTGGGACAGAGACAGGGGACTGGTTCCAGGGATCCAGGAGGAGAGACCTCAGAACAGAAAACCCCTGGGAGGAGTCCATGCAACAGGACATGGGGGAACAAAGAGCAGGGGGTGGCTGTGGTTCCCTCCCCAAAACTGGACTGGTGAGGCAAAGGCCACTCCAGAGGGTCTCGGGCTTTGGACATGGTGGGGGGATGAGAAACAGAGATCCAAGTCATTGCTTCTCACCCCCTCAGGTAGTTTGTCTCCACCCACACCACCCCCCCAACTCCCCTACCCTAGAAGCCTTCCCAGATCATCAGACAGGTGAAAGGATGGCTTTTTTTTTAAATCAGATCCCACAGGACTCCCCAGGAATGGGCCCATGGGTGAGCCCCGGCAGTGCCTGAGGACACAGGACTGGACACGTGGGAACAACTGGTCAAAGCATAGTCAGATTGAGCCTTGGTTGAATTTTTCAGGTTTTTGTTTGTTTTTCCTATTTTCTTTTTCCTGCTCCTTCTTTTACTTCTGAAGTTGTTTTGTGCCTTTTGATAGGTAAAGAAGGGTGGGTCCCCCAGGAGAACAGTTCTGAACAAAGATGTAATTTTCATTGCAAAGACTGTACACGGAAGCTATCCTTGGGCACCGGCTTCCTTCCTGGGATCCTGGGGACTGCAAGGGCATCCAGAGGCCCAGCCAATCGCTCTCACTGCCTCCTGCCTACCCACATAGCCCTCAAGCTAAGGAGGAAGTTTCTTGTGGACACCCTCCAGAACAAGAGGAGATGCAGCCACCCCAGCTGGGTGCCTTAAGCTTCCCACCCCTCCCTCTTCTGCCACCTGCTGGGCCTGGCCAAGGTTCACTTGGCAAAGTAGGGTCTGGCTCCCTCTTTTTCCTCAATCCTGACCCCCTCAATGCACTCTTATGTGCCCTGTCCTCAGAGAGAGCAGAACTTCAACAGGCCAAAGGACAAGCTTTAATGGTGGGATTTCAGCATTCTGCAGCTGGCTGGTCAGGTGGTGTGTGCCTGCATGTGTGTGCATGTGCGCGTAGAGTGGGCAAGGGTTCATAAGAGTCAAAGCCCATTCACACCTAGCACACCTGGGTCTGGACAAAATTCCACTGCCCTGCTAGAGAACTGAGGCCTGAGAACAAGTCCTGGCAGGGTACAGCAGAGGCAAGGACCTCTGGCTCCTGAGACTAACCTGGCCTCCAGAAGTGGGAATGGCTGAGGAGATGGCTGGTGATTCTTCAAACACTTCCTCCCCTGAGGAGTTGAGTCCAAACCCCAGAATGGCCAGGGCAAAGGCATCTTCACAGTTCTCCTGTCTGGGAGAGGGCTTATATCCAGCCTCACAGATCATATCTGGAAGTAGGTGGAAATCTGGGGGAGTACAACAGCTCCCCAGGTCTTCGTCAGGCAAGAGGTGCCATTGTCTTATCCATGTCTGTGCCCCAGTGCACAGCACCAGAGTCTGGCACACAGCAAACTATTAATGAATGTGTGAGGGAGGGAAGAGAGAGGAAAAAAGAGTAGAGAGGGAGGGAGGGAGGGAGGAGAGGAGGGTGGAAGGGAAGAAGGAATGGGAGGTGGGAGGAAGAGAGAGTAGAAAGCAAATGCTAACACCTCAAATAAGCCGAAATCGAGGAGGGCTAGGCGCTCATTCCTTCCTGGCTTTTCCTTGTCTCTCCATAACTCCACCTTACCCGAGAAGGTCAGGGGCCCGAGTTCCCCACCCCGTAGGGAAGAAAACCCTGTGGGTCCACAGGGAACTCTGACGCACCTGCTGGTCAGCCAGCGCCTGCGGTAGGACCGCCTTCAGTCAGCCACACATTCCGCAGGCGCCTAGGAACACGCAGCCCTCCCCGCCTCTCCAACTGAACACCGCCCTCCCCCACCCCCATCACAGTCACCCATCAACCACCCTACTCTGCCGCCACCACCGCTACCTCCAGCCTTGACTGCACCGTCTCCAGCTCTCGAAAAGAGGGCAAGGCAGCCACCTGCATTCGGTCTACAAGAAGACTTCCGCGCCGCATCGCCCGTGAACCACCGCTTCATTCTGAGGACGAATAAACCTATCCCTGAGGACGCACAGTGGAGGCGGGTTGGGCCCGATGTCATCCGCCGAGCCTTGGAAGCGAGGTCTCCGAGGCAGGCGTCCCGGGTCCGGGCCTTTCTCTGTACCTCAGTTTCCCAGGCTGTAAAATAGGGAAGGCGGGAGGAGGAGGGCTCTGGTAGGTTTTAGGTTGGATACGCGGGTCTGGGCCCGCGCGCTGGGAATAGACCTTCCCTCTCCGCGTGGGGGCGCTGGAACTTCAGCCCTCCCTCCCTCCCTCCCGAGGCGCTCCCGCCTAGACGCGCGAGGGCGCGGACGCGCTAGCCTCCTTGAAGCACGACACTACCCCGCCCCCTGCGCCCCAGTCGTGAAGGGTCCCGGAGCCTTGCCTGGTCGCCAGGCCTCAGGGGAGGCGCCAAAGAACCCACAGTTGGGCCTCACTCGCGCTCTAGCTCCTCCTCGCCTGGCCTCTCCGGCGCGAGGGATTAGCTGGGGCGATTGAAAATGGATCAAACAATGCGCCCCACCCTACTCTGGGTTACTTGCAGCCCAGAGCCCTACGCAGGCAGCAGCCCTCAGCCTGGGCGATGTGAAGTGACATGTACTGTCTCGTAGTCGGGCCTGCCGGCATCAGCCCTCCGAGGAGCAGAAGTGCAAAATGGGGGAGGTTAGTGGGGAGGCCTCCCGGAGGAGGCGGCTCTGAAGAGGGACATGATGAGCGCCCTGAGGTGGGGCTGAGGGGCCGTGCGGGGGTTGGAAATCTCAGCCAGGCTCTTGGAAACGTCGTGAGCCAAGCAGGGAAGGATGAGGCCTGTTGGGGTCTCGAGACTCCCAGAGATGTGGTCGGAGGAGATGAAGTCCTGTCAGTACCTAGTGACTGAGGACTGACTGGGACTGGAGGAGGTAGCGCAGGGACTCCCTACTCGTCGGGGTGCCCCCCAGCCCCGCCCCACACCTGCAGGGTGGCCCCGCCTCTGCCGAGCCATTGGCCGGACACGTCGCCCGTCAGACGAGCCCCCGGGGCCCGCCCCGGCTCCGAGCTGCGCCTCAGCGCTGGGGCCAACTCGGCAGCACCACTGCGCCAGGCTCCCCGCCATCCGCCGCGCGGTGCGCCGCCGGCCAGCCCGCCCGCGCATTACCGGCGCAAAGCCGCCTGCCGCGGTCTTGTGGGGGCACCATGTGCCCGCCGAGCCTGCCGCCGCCCCGCTGGTTCTGCGTGCTGGCCGGCGCCCTCGCCTGCGCCCTTGGCCCCGCGGTGAGTGTCTGGTGGGCCGCCTGGAGTCCCGGCAGCTGGGGGTGGAGCGAGAGTGGCGGGAACCGGGCCCTGTGCGCACGTCTGTGTGGCGGAGATAAGAGGTGCGGAACACCGGGTCTCACCTCCCCTGCGCCTCAGACTGGATCTAGATCTGAGGGAGCCGTGGCGTCTCCATCACGCCTAGTCCCTTAACGCACAGCCCACCGCTCAGCGCAGGGCCCTGGGACACCCGTGGAGGAGCAGTGGGAAAGAGCGGGCTCCAAACTTGCCTTCTGTATAGTGGCTGTAGGGTGGGGAGGTCAGTGGATGCTCCGGCATTGAAATGGAAGGTCTGGTAGATGGTGGGAGGGAGGCTGTGAGGATCATTGTGTGCTGTGCCCATCTGGAGGTGTCTGTGGGGCGTTAAGCTACTTGTAAGAGTGACGTCTGAGCAGCAGACCCAGAGCTAAGGACCCTGGGACCTGGGAAGGGGGTTTTGGGATCAGGTGGCTGGCAGGCGGACCCATCCTGTGCCCTCCCACTGAGAAGAGCTGAAAGGTATGAAGCCAAGGTGAAAGGTGGTGGGCAGTGAGGGTTTGGGGTGGTGTTTATGAGGAAGGGCCAGACACGTGCATGGGGAAAGCTGAGCAGGGAAAAACAACCAAGAAGCAGTGGCCTCTTCCTCTCATTTCTGCTTCATCCCCACATGGGTGTGTGTGTGCCCCTGATGCATGTGTGCCACTGTGCCCCACGTGTGGGTATGCCCAAGTGTGTGTCTGGGGATGGCTCACCTGGGCTGCAGGGCAGATTCTGGTTGAGACAGGAGATGCGTAGGTCACCTCCCTGTAAGATCCGGGAAGACCTGAAGACTACTCAAGCCCATGTTACACAAAGTGAGGCCCAAAGATATCAGAGCCACCCCTGTCCCCCACCCATCAGACATGGATTGAGATTGATTTCTCTCTACCACTATCCCAGGACTTGAGGAATCTGGGGTTGCTGCTTGGGCAGGGCCTAAAACCTGGGGGTTCCAGGTCTGGCACCAGCTCCAGGTTGGTTGGTGGGTGGGTGGAATATATTAGTCACCTAGTCTTTTCTATCCCATGATTACCTGCCCTACTATCACCTCCACCAGGGCAGGAATCTCTGTTTCCATCTGGTTAATGTCTTGCACACCCTGGGGATGGAGAGCTCATTGCCTATCCTGGGAGAAGACCTGGGAGCAGTTAGCAGGATCCTCCCTTCCACCCACTGATAGCTGTGGTGAGGTCCAGCTCCTGAGCACTCATAGCCCCACCAAGTTCTGGCTCTGAGGTCACAGCTTTGACACCACTTACAGCCTCTCAGTGTCACAGAGCCTCCAGGCCTCACCAGCAACCCTCTGGCTATCCCACCCCTGGGCTCTGACCACTCAAATTCTCCCTGGATGAGCCAGGGATCTTGGGACCACCACTGGAACCCTATTCCCCCACCTTCTTAGCTCAAGGGTAGAGTGGTTTCAGTGGGACCCTCTCTCATGCTAGGCAGCATCTGCTCCCCATCTCCTGAGACAGTCCAAGCCTGGCTCCTCCAATGCCTAGCTTCCCTTGTCTTTCTGCATCTTATTCATTTAGGTCCAACTCTAGCTCCTCCTCCAGGCAGCCTTCCCTGACTGCTCCATCCCACTCAGCCCTCCCTACTCTGACCCCACCTTTCAACCCTACTCACCTCCCAGCCTGTGCTCTTCTGACCATCCCATGGGATCGAGGGCTAAGGTTTCTCACCCTCCCATGTCCCCTACAGCCCAGAGCAGGGCTGGGCCCACCAAGGGAGGAGAAGGGACTCAGCCAGGAGTGGGTGAGGGCAGGCTGGAATGAGGGGCCACCATTTGCCTCTCTACTTCTCCCTCCTCCCCACCAGCTACCGCTTGCTCTTGAATTGAATGGACACCAGGCAATCCTGCTCCAGACAGACTCCAGCCGGGGGTTGTGGGGGGGAGGGATGCTGATGTTATTGGAGTCATAAAATGGCAGCTGCAAAGTTCAGTTTGAAGGCCCAAGGCCTTATCACTCCTGTTTATGGTGCCCTGACCTCAATCTGGGAAGGGGAAATCTCTGAACAGGGAAGCAAAAAAAGGAAAGAAAACCTTCAGTGTCTCAGAAGAGGAAGTTTGCCCCGAGGCCACCCTTCAGATCTTCTACTGCCCCTGCCCCCTGGACAGCAGACACAGGGGCTCCTCACTAGCAGCAGAACTGCTCAGGCCAGTGCCCAGCCCAGGGGCGGAGGCGGGAGGTGTCATAGAGAAGGATCAAACCCACGCCCTGCCCTGGGAAGATTCTCCAGCTAGTGAGGGAGAGCAGAGCCAGTGACCTAGGAGGACGAGCCCAAGTGGGTGTGGGATGCAGTGTCCCAGAACTGGGGCAAGGGTTGCTGAGAGGAGCAGTCAGGGCATGCTCCCTGACGGAGGCAGGGCAGGCCCTGAAATGTTCAGCCAAATGGTTGAATCTTCCACCTGAGACCATAAAACAGCCTCTGTTGGCAGGACCAAGGGGCCTCACCCCAGAAGGAGGAGGAAGCCCCCAGCACCCCCCAGGGGCTGGGAATGGCAGGAGTTGTGGGAGGCTTGGCTCCTCTGTCTCCTCTGCAAGGCAGGTTGCTGGGCACCGGCTCCTTGCCATAGGCATTCTGCCCCCGCCATCAGCTTCCAGCTTCTCCAGAAGCTGTCCACAGCTGCCCAGCAGTCCAGCCCTAGCAGGCCACCTTGTGGGATTTAGGAAACATGCCTACAGCAAGGTCAGGCCTCCTCAAGTCACAGGACAACATCAGTTAGGCCTGCCCAGGGCTCCCCGGGGACTGTGCTGGAGGAACACGCTCCATCAGAGGTTTCCACACTCCCATGCTGCCCTGAGGCTCAGTCTTCCCTGACCTTTCTAGAGCTTCCATGATGAGGAGCCTGAGCTGGGACCAGGAGACCAGTCCTCACCCTACTCCATGGCAATGGCCAATTTGAGAACATGTTTCATCTCTGGAAGGGCCTCCATTTCCTCATCACAAAAGGGAGGATGCAAACCCTTGGCCCAACATTGGGGAGAAATGGGAAGAGAGGCCAGCTCCACTCCTGTCTGGGGCAGAGTCTCCCCACTTCCCCCTCACGACTGACTCTGTGAAATGGGCCTGGTCCTCTAGTCGGGACTCTGTGAGATCTGCAGGGAGTGAAAGTGCTGTGTGAGCTATGTGACGGGTCATTCTTGCCTCTTGATCCCCAGCTTGGGACCTCTGTGGAACCCCCTGGAGTCCTCTCTTGCCCCACCTGCCCAGGGGTTTCCAAGGCAGGCAAGAGTCCCGGGGACAAGGGGCATATCCTCATGAGGTGGCCAGACAATGTGGGGGGTGAGGCTCCAGGCCCAGGCAGGCCTTCTCAGGGTTGGGTAGTAGGCGATGCCTCCCCATGAGGCGGGCAGCCTCATGGCACCTCCACCTGGGCTGAGCCTGCCACTGGCCCAGGTCCCTCACTGGGGCCCCTCTAGCTGTGGCTGCAGGGATGGGGCCAGAGGACTAGATAAAGCCCCATCCTTTTCTCCCTTCACCTTCTTCTCAACCTCTCAGGCTCCACCCTTCCCCATCTGACTTCCCAAAACATAACTGTTCTCACTGCACACAGGAAAAGGTACAATACTGCAAACTCTCTCACATACCTTAGATATATTTCAGAATAAAAAGAAATACAGTTTAACCTCTACCCCATGTTATGGATTTTTTAAAAACTTTTCGTGTGAACTTTTTCAAACTTTTTTTAAAGTAGAGCAAATATTATAATGAACATGAACATACCCATTTCTTGGAGTGATGGCAGCAAAATGGCACTGTAGGTATTTCCAGGGCTCATCCCTCCTCAACTTCTAGGTTTGACAGTTACTAACCTTTAAGGATTAATATTTGCATCATTTTACTTTTTTTTTGCTGAAGTATTTTAAAATAAATTATAGACACTATAGACCAAATTATTTTAAGATGCACCTCTAAAACCAAAGGGTATTTTCCTATATACCTATAAGACCATCATCACACCTAACAAAATGAACAGGGATTCCTTAATACCTAAAATTCAGATAACCCCCAGCAGCACTGAACCAAGCACCACAAGACGAGCAGTGACACTAACAGGGAGTTTGGACTTACTGCAAGGAGCCTTCCTGCCTGTCATGATGGGACTATCCGGCGGGCTGGCAGGGTGGGTGAGGGGAAGGGCAGGGGGCCTTGAGCAGGGTGGGTGGACAGCAAGCTGAGCTTCACCAGACAGAGTCCAGTGTTATATGCACCCTGTCTCATGTGGTTCATGATGTGAAGATGCATATCTCCCGGAAAGTGCCTCTCGCTATCTTAAAAACAGGTTCTTCCTGCACAGGAGGTCATAGGGAGGGGCCAATGTCATCAGCAGATGTATCAGGGACTCATGACTTGCTGTGCTGGTGCCCTGCCCTCTGCAGGTGGCCCAAAACCCACGTCACGCACAGACATCCTATTTGTAAACTGAGCGTCTTCCCCCAGCAGTGCCCAGGATGATTTTCAAGGGACAGAGGATTTAAACCTGAGTCCCTGCTGCCCCTGCTTCTCAGCCATCCCCATCCTGTGGTGATCCTTTGCAAAGAAAGCCTGAAAGGCTTCATGCCCCTCAGTAAACCTTGCAAGAAGGGCCTTTAGATGAGACAAAGCTTAACCTCAAGATGAATACCTTTGCTTGCATTCTCCTAATGCTGAGAGCCCTTGTCCTGGTACCACTCTAAGCTGTGGGAAGTTTTTTCTTGCCCCAAGTCCAAGCCTGCATCCCTATATCTCCCTCTTTTTCTTACCCCTACCCCAAGACCAGTTCTTACTCCACCCTCCTGCCTGCCCGGAGCTCAGCCTTCCCCGGAAGGAGGCATGGTTGGCAAAATTTGGATTTGCAGATATGGGAGGCTTCAGACTATTGACGAAAGGGTGTGAAAATACAGGGAAGAGAGGAGAAATCAGAGTGAATTAGGGGGCAGAAAGAAAGCCAGGCT